CCCCCCCCCACCTCTATCTTTCCATGGCTGTCTGTCCTATGCGGAGCATGTAACGAAGGGCTCAGTTCTTGACTGAGGCCTAGTAGTTTGGTGGTGATCTACAAGCTGCCCTGTTCAGCTGCACAAAGAGGATCCTGAGCAAACAGGCAGAGAGTCTTGCTCTGTTAAAAGCCTGAGGGGCTGTGCTGTGGGCTGGGAACCTTGAGCCTGGAAGCTGTTTGTTGGAGAGAGCTCGGAGGCCACTGACACGTGTGGGGCTGTGGATTGGGAGATGTCCCCAGTCCCCACTCCTGGGAGCAGCGCCCAGGGCCTCTGATAGATCGGTAGAGGCCTGCCTGCTCCTGCGTGTTACGGCTTGGATGCGAGACAGCCCGCATGACATGCTAAGGCTTGGTGACCACATGGTGCTGCCTTGGCTCCGGCCCCTCCTGCATCTCCTGTCAAATGCACAGAGGTTCCCCCGTACCGCTGGGGCAGCAGCACAGAGCAGCCCTTGCCCCCCTCCCAGAGACTGGCGAGCAGCTGGGGCGAAAGCTGGCTGCACAGGTGGTTCCCGGCTCTTGCAGCGACGGAGACGCAGGGCTGCCAGCTTGGGAACAGTGAACTCATCCTCAAGAGGGAAAGGGAAATTACATGGTGGTTTCCTTCCTTTTTGATCTGTGTCCGTGCCAGGAAGGACCAGTTTTATCTAGGAGACCTCAAGCTGGTGGGGTTAGGGGTCCCGTCGTCCCGTCGCTGTTGCTTTCCTCTACCTGGTGCTGCTACCCGAAAAGAGCCTGGTGGCTCCCTGTGAGTCTTGGAGCTGCATCTGGGATGTGTTTGGGATGGGGACAGAGAGGCTGCTTGTCAGGGGGCAGAATTACCAGAGATTGAGCTGCTGGCTCATGGCATGAGGTGGGGGCCTGGGCTCTCCTGGCAGCAGAGACACCCCCGTTCTGCCTGCTGTAACCTGGGCAGGTATCCAAGGCGAGGGAATTCCTGCATCTGGCCTCATTGCCCTAGAGCTGCTCTGGCAGCATCTCCAGCAGAGCCAGGCCAGGAAACTGCCCGCTGACAGGGAATTTACAAACATGAACGGAGCTCAAAGGACCGAGTTTCCTGTCTCTGTTCCTGTTTGAGCTGTGTCAGGGAGCACGTGAAGCAGAGCTCTCCAACCAGCTGTGGTGGCCGTCCTGGAGCCAGGCTTGCTGGAGAGCTGATGCTTGCTGGGGGCCTGGGAGAACGGGCTGAGGGGGGCAGAGGGATCCCTGGGGTAAGGAGGGGTTTTTCTGGGATGAGGGGAAGGGAGCTGAGCTTGCCCTGCCTGGCATCGCCCTGGTGCCTCCTATGCGACTGCACAGGGTCCCCTGCCCTGACCCTGCTCCCACAGCTGTGAAGTGACTTGATCCAAGATCTCAGGCTGCTGGCGTGAGTGTGTGTCCCCAGCTGGTGTGCAGCTGGGCTGCAGCTGTGTGTGGCTCCTCAGGAGGGAATGGCCAGGCTCTTGGCTGGTGCGAACCAGCGCAGTGCCAATGGCTTAATCGGAGCCCACCTCCAGGGTCTGGTAGAGCTACACCAGTGGGAGATCTGGCCTGCTGAGTTAAATCTTCCCTGCGGGGAAGAACAGTGACTCTGGAGCATTTTCCAGGAAATCAGGGGCTGCTAATGCATCCCCTGCCCCATGGGTTTGTTATCGTTGAGTCCAGTGAGAGTGGGTCAAGATCTGTGCTTTCTCTCTCTCTCTGCAGGCCACGATGCTGCGTCTGGCTGCCTTCACAGCGCTGCTGCTGTTCTTCAGGGTCAGCCTGGAGCTGTCCTGGGCCCAGGCCATCCCTGCTCTCTTTGTCTTCTACCTGGGATCTGGGGGATGGAAATTCTTCCTCATATTCTTAAAGACGATACGGAGAGACCTCACGTAGGTGTCCTGGCCGGGATGGGCCCCCACCCCAGCCCACTTCTCTGCCCCGGTGTGTGTGAGCGCAACGCCAGCTCCCTGGGTCCCTGCTGGCTCCTGGCCCATCTGGAAGATCTCCCTCTGCCAAGCCCAGACATCTCGAAACCTTCGGGCAAAGTTTTCCCAGGAAAGACGGATTTCAGCTGAGCTGTAAAGTCTAGTGACTGCCCTTGTCCTTGTACTTCACCCCATCCCTTAAACTGCTGGTGTGGCACTGGGTGCCTGGGCAGGGTCCACTCTGAGCCGGTGCCAGGCTGTACCAGCTCCTGTTGGGGGGAGGGCGTGGAGAACCTCTTGGAGAACATCTGAGGCTCAGAGATACACTTTTTAAGGGGGGGACATCCAAGTCTATAGCACCCCAAAGCCCATCCCTCCCTGATTGCCACCAGTTTCTGGCCGTAGGCATCCTTACAGAGGGCTTGCCTACCCCAGCTATGACCACGCTGTTCAGGGGAGCACCCAGAGCTGCTGCTGACCTAGAGCAAGGCCTGGAGCAGGCTAGACTGTTGGAGCTCCTAGCAAGGTCCCTGTGCTGTGCTGTATCGCTGGTTTTGCTAGGAGAAGTGCTTCTGCAGGGGCCACTGAGCTGCTGCCTTCTTACTCCCCTTCCTTTGGCAGCACGGGGCTGGTCCTCTTGCGGGTGAAGTGGCAGGTGTGGAGGCACGTGAGGGAGAAGAACACCATTGCCAAGATCTTCCAGAAGACAGCGAGCAAGTATCCAGAGAAGACGGCACTGATCTTCCAAGGCACGGGCGAGAGCTGGACCTTCCGGCAGCTGGACGAGTATTCCAACCGGGTGGCCAATTTCTTCCGCGGACACGGCTTCCGCTCTGGTGACGTGGTGGCTCTGTTCATGGAGTCCCGCAATCAGTACGTGGGGCTGTGGCTCGGCTTGGCCAAGATTGGGGTGGAGACAGCCCTTGTGAATTCCCACCTGCGCATGGAGGCCTTGCTGCACTGCATCACCATCTCCAACTCCAAGGCTGTGGTTTTTGGGGTGGAGATGATGGAAGGTGAGGGGGCAGGCAGATGGATGCTTGAGTTATCCAGGAATTGGATCTGGGGTTTTTTGTTGGTCTTTTGACCACTGGATGGCAGCTGGAGATGGACAGGATCTGGGGTTCAGTGCTCTGTCTGGTTCCCAAGCAGGCCTGCATGGGTGTGAGGATGTTTCCTTGCACTAATAGTGCCTCTTCAGGGTCCGTTCCCTGCACGGACCCCAGGGCTGGGCTGGGCCTAACCTGCTACATGGGACAAGCCTCCTCTTGTTCTTGTGGCGCTTAGCCACATCCCTGCAGCAGCTTGGCTCCAGCTCCTCATGTGTTTCAGCCCCCATCTCAGGGGTTGATGGTGTCAACATACTTCCTCTGGGTAAATTGGCACCCGAGAGGTTCTGGCTGGGGAGAGCAGAAGAACAGGATCCTCTAGCCTCTGAAGAGGCCTGGGCTGTGGCCCCAGCTTCTGTTAGGCATGGGGGACAACATCTGCCTGGAAAGGTTGTCAGACCTTTTGGGACACTGCAGAGCCCAGCGAGGGTACTGCTTCCTGGGGCGCATTGTCCCCTTGAAACTGTTGGGGAGGGCAGGGTTTCTCTGTGCCATATCCACCCTGTGGACTTTCTCCGTCTTCCCCTCTTCGCTTTCCTAGCCATGCAGGAAGTGCAGCCCTCTCTGGAGAAATCCATCCATCTCTTCTGGTCTGGTGAAGGAATCCCCGAGTCAGCAATTCCTGGTGCAAAACACCTGGATCCCCTCTTGCAGATGGCCCAGCGGCTCCAGCCAACCCCTCCTGAGAAGGGCTTCCTTGGTATGTGGTCAGCTTTTGGGGGGCAAACTCATGGTGGTGTTGCTGTGGATCCGCTGGTTACAACACTGGTGGGCTGTGTCCCTCATTGGCAAGAGTGCCTGCTGGGGAGGCCGATGGCAGACTTGTGCAGAAGGGCCTGGAGCATTTGAGATGGGTCAGCCCTCCCTGTGGTGCAGCATCATGTGGTTCCCCACCATCTATCCAATAGGCCTGATCCTGCCCAGGACGAACCCCAGCATGCTCTTGGTGCTGTCATGTTTGATTCACCTGGCATGACCAGGGTGTATAAATTTGCCTTGTTCCCATCTCCTCGTCCAGCCAGCTCCTAGATAGGATATAGTGGCTCTGGGTATGTTACCCTGTCTCTTCTTCGCTCTCCAGATAAGCTCTTCTACATCTATACCTCTGGCACCACGGGGATGCCCAAAGCTGCCATTGTGGTGAACTGCAGGTAAGGCAGTCGCTGGGGGCTCTGGGGAGGAAGGGGGCCGAGCTCTGCCCTGTGCTAAGACAGAGCCTCTGGCCCTGCTGCTGATGTGTCCCTTCATCCCTCCCCTCCCCCCCCCCAGGTACTTCCGCATGTCCAACTTGGTTTATTACGGTTTCCGCATGAGGCCTGATGATGTGATGTATGACTGCCTCCCACTCTACCACGCTGCAGGTAACCTGTGCCGCATGGAGCCCTGCTTGCGCAGGCTCTCCCTTCCCTTCTGCCAAGCCCAGGGCACAGGCTGGAGGCTGGTGCAGCAGCGATGCTCTGTGCCAAGGAGAGCCCAGCTGCTGGTGGTGGTGCTGCCTGTCTGATCTGAGACCTTTCTCTTTCTCTGGGAGCTGGGAACGATCAGACTGGCCTTCGGTGTGGGGAGTGGGGGATTTTATCCCAGCTTCTAGTCTGGCTTTGGGATAGCTGTACCTTATTGCTGCTGTCCCTACCTGGAAAGTAACAGGGACGGGGAAACAGCGCCCACCTTGCTGGCTGACACACCCTGGGATATCTGGGTGCAAAGTGCTGTTGCAGATCTTGCTGTCACACTGCCCCTGTGTCCCCTTCCCAGTGCCTGTGGTTCTGGGGTCCTTGGCTAGATGAACACTTGCGTGCTTTGAGACAGCATGTGGCCTCTGCCTTGCCCTGCCAATCCTCTCCCCGTACTGGTTGTGCTGGAGGGATTTGGGGACTGAAGGCCTCTCTGGCTGTCTGTTCACAGGGAACATTGTAGGAGTCGGGCAGTGCCTGCTGCAGGGCATGACAATTGTCATCCGCAAGAAGTTCTCGGCCTCGCACTTTTGGGAGGATTGCGTGAAATACAACTGTACGGTGAGGCCATGAGTCAAGGGACCACCGAGCCAGCTGGGGCTGGGCAGAGGAGCCTGGGAACCCGTGTTGTGCTAGGGATAGTCCAGCTGCTGGAAGACGGAGCAGCCTGAACCAGCTCTGCCTGTGTCCTGCTCTGTCTTTCAAGGTGGTGGGGCTGTCCCTCCCACCGGGGTGGAAACTCCACGTGTCCAAGCCATTCCCATGCTCCAACGTTAACCAGAAGGTTTGGGATAGGTTTTACAAACTGGAGGAGGGTATCCCAGGCAGGGAGGTAACCAGGGAGGGGCAGATGGGGGACAGGCTAGCAGGACCCCCTGGGTTTTGCTTTGGCCTCTTTAGGGGACCTTGGGCTAGTTGTTCCTTCCCTGCCTGCCCTAAGGACCACCCCCAAAAAGACCTTGGGGCCTGGGGGAAGGTCTTAGTTTGTCCTTGTTCCCTGTTTACGCCAGATTGTGCAATACATTGGTGAGATCTGCCGTTACCCGTACCAGGAGGCAGAGCGGCAGCACCGGGTGCGCATGGCGGTGGGCAACGGGCTGCGGGCCTCCATCTGGCGAGAGTTCATGGCCCGCTTCGGCATCGCCCAGGTGGCTGAGTTCTATGGGGCCACCGAGTGCAACTGCAGCCTGGGCAACTTCGACAACAACGTAAGGCCCCGCTGCCCTCCCTGCGTCCCAGAGGCTTCCTGCTGGAGCAGGGCTGGAGACTCATTGGGTCTGTTTGCTCCTGGTTCCTTGCTCGAGAGGCCTCACATGGGTTATTGTCTGCCTGGAGGGGTTTTGGCTGTTCTTGTGTGGTGCCAGCTCTCTGATGTCCTGGATGTGGATGGGCAGCAGACTTGGGGCTGGAGAGACATCCCTGCTGCCCATGGCTCTGAGCTCTTTCTGTCCTAGGTTGGGTCCTGTGGCTTCAACAGCAGGATCCTGCCAGGTGTGTACCCCATCGGCTTGGTGAAGGTGGACGAAGACACCATGGAGCTGATCCGGGGGCCAGATGGTGTCTGTATCCCCTGCAAACCAGGTGAGGGCCACTGGGGGAACAGGTGTCTCCTTGGCCCTATGTGAGTCTTTTGTTAGATACTTCAAGGTATTTTAGCTAGGCTTGCGTCTCTGCTCAGGTAAACTTCCACCAACCCCGTTAGAAACCCTTTTTCCCTGGGCTTGAGTTGTTGCTTCCCCTTATTCATCCCCTCTCCTTTCCTTGCAGGGGAGCCGGGGCAGCTGGTGGGCCGCATAGTCAAGAGCAACCCCTTGCAGCACTTTGATGGCTACCTGAATCAGTCGGCCACCAACAAGAAAATAGCCAAGGATGTTTTTTCAAAGGGAGATGCTGCCTATCTTACAGGTGAGGCAAGTAGGGCCCCTCCATGTCTGCTAAGAGAGGAGGAGAGGGCTATTTGGGTGGGTTTGGGGGCTGTGCAACCTGGCTTTGCCAGGCCCGTGCAGTCCTGCTACCTCCACATCGGTGAGCAGAGAAGAGCCAGGCTTTGTGAGCCTCTCTTCCCCTACCCGAAGTTGTCCCAGGCTAGTGGCACTGCCCTGAGATGCTTTGGGGGAGCTCTTAGGCCCTCTGACACCCCATTTTTTGCCCATTCCTCACTCTGTCATAGGGGACGTCCTGGTGATGGACAAATATGGTTACATGTACTTCCGGGACCGCACTGGGGACACATTCCGCTGGAAGGGGGAGAACGTCTCCACCACAGAGGTGGAGGGGACGCTGAGCCGCATCCTCCACTTGACGGACGTTGTTGTTTACGGGGTGGAGATCCCAGGTAACTGGAGTGGTCAGTGGAGGCAGGCAGGCACGCAGGCCTCTGGCACCTAAATGTGAGCGGGTCCTGTGTGTCCAGACCTGTGTGTCCTTTTGCAAGATGCTGGACTGAGGTTCTGTGCCAACAAGCCGGGGAGAAGCCACTGGGGATGTGACTAGTGGGAATCTTCTCTCCAGCTGAGGTTTGGTCCGATTCTGACTAATTTGGAAAGACCCTGCATCCTTCCTGGAGAGGCTGCAAGTGTCTCCTCTGGGAGGAGGTGACTGTGACCGCTGGGTGTCGCTGGTAGCCTTAGCTGCAGGGCGGTGACACAGCCAGTGACACAGCTGGACATGCCAACACTTTTAGTACAAAGCAGGGTGTTTGCCAGCGGCCTTGCTGGCACGAGACAGATGGAGACAGTACTGCAGGGACAGGGGCAGTGTGTCCCACCGGGTACTCTCCCTTGTTTTCTGTCCCGCAGGGATTGAAGGGAAGGCGGGAATGGCAGCCATCGCTGACCCGGAGAACTCCTGTGACCTGGAGAGCTTTGCAGGTGAACTGAAAAAGGCTCTGCCGCTATATGCGCGGCCCGTCTTCCTGCGGTTTCTGCACGAAGTCTCCAAGACAAGTGAGTCACGGCGTGTGCTTTCGGGCTGGGGAGAGGGCACAGCTGCTTAGTCTGCCTCACTCGCGTACAGAGGCTGATCTGCAGCAGGGTTGGGATGAGATGGAGCACATCTGTCCTGTAGGATCCTTCTGGCCTCCCCAGTTCCTCAGATGATTGGAGAAGTGGGAGTGCAAGGCTGTGGTCGGGGGGTGGTGGCTGGCACTGGGGTGCCTGAGGTTGGCATCAGCAGCTGGGAGGTGGCCTCCCTGTCCCAGTTGTGTGCCGCACAGGACAGTGCCAGAAGCAAGGCATGGCAGCATGACCGGGTGGGGATGGGAGTGCATGCAGCTGACAACCCTTTCCTCTATCTTCTCTCCCCGCTCCAGGCACTTACAAATTCCAGAAGATGGAGCTGCGCAAGCAGGGCTTTGACCCCACGCTGGTGAAGGACAGGTTGTACTTCCTGGACTCCAGGCAAGGCCTCTACCTGCCCCTGGACCAGGAAGCGTTCGACAGGATCCAGTCGGGACAGCAGAAGCTGTAACCAGTGGGGCTCGAGCAAGGCGCCTCCCCAAGTCCTGTGGGGGAGACGGGGGGCAGGGCAGGCGCTGGGGAAGAAAAGGTTCAAGGAGTGATATAAAGGCACGCTAGAGATTTTATTTGACAAGTTTTACAGATGATGAGTTGGGGGGATTGCAGGGGGGACAGAGGGGAGTGCGATGGTTACATACCAAAGCATAGACTCATTATGGCTTTATTTTCTAATTGGTACAGTGGTGGTGGTCCCGTGCCACGGGAGGGGCAGGAACCTGGCCAGTTGAGGAGGGATGGGGTGCCCCTGCCATTCCGTTTTGTTTTTCTCATCTTCCCCCTCCTTTTTCCTGCCTGCAGCAGCCCTTCCTTGTGCAGGCCATGAAGGGACCAGTGCTGGGCTCTTTTCCCCCTCCTCCTCCACCAAGCAGCCAGCTCCTCCCTGGCACAGGGCCCCAGCTGGCAGAGGGAAGTGGGGTGCCAGGTGCAACCCCCACCCGCTGCGCGGCCCGCTGGTGTCGTGTTTGTGCTGTGAATCAGGGGAGCAGGTAGTGCTGGGCTCAGGGGAGGGTCAGGGAGGTGTTTCTGCCATGTCTTGCTCTCTCCTGGGGATGACGTTTCTATTTTTCACAATCACACGCACATTATACATATATATAGATATAAAAAAAAGTATATATATATGTATGTGTGTGTGCGTGTGTGTGTATACACACACACACACACACACATATATATATATATTGTACACGCTGACTTTTTTTTTTCAATCTTAATTTATTGTCCGCACTTTTGAATGTATCCCGGGTTTGTGCAGTAGGTGGAGGGACATCCCAGACCTGTCCTCTCTCGGAGAGCCCTTTTCTCTCGCAGGGAGATGGGACACTCTCATCTGGGACTGAGTCTCCTCTTCCAACGTGGGCGCAGCCATGTGTGTCCCTGTGGCCCTGCTGCATGGTGAAGGATGTGAGCGAACTCTGCTGTCTTGTGGACGCTTCTCTGGGTCTCTTACTTCCACCTTTTGTGGATGCAGCCTTGTTTCATGCACTTTCTTCCTTGCGGAGAGCAGGTGGGAGAGTGGGAATGAAGGGCCTGGCTTGCCTTTGCTTAGACATGCTCAACACCTCAGACGCATGGAGCGGCTCTAGGGGCTTTCCTGCTGCGATGGCTGTGCCGTGGATGTAGGAGGCAGTTTGCCTAGGGGAGAAACTCCTCCAGAGGGTGGTCTCTGTGAGAGCCTGACTTCGCAATCTCTGCGTTTCCTCCTGCAAGAGTCCCTCCCCACCTCCGCTGCAGGAGACTGGCCTCCGAACTGAAATGTCCGTGTTAAACACCTGACTTGCGCTATGTGAATTCCCCGCGTTGTGTCCGATGTGAAACAGCCTTAGCAGCAATGTCTGATTCCAGCCCTCAGAGACCATGCAGAAACGTCTGTTTCAGAGAAAACTCTGGGTTGGGTTTTCTTTTTTTTTATGGTTTGTTTGATGCTTTCAGCAGAGTTACACCTTAAAATGGCCTGTGTGTCTCTTGCAAGGGCAGGGTGTGCCTGCTCTTTTAGCTGTGCTTCCACACCAACCTACCTGCCTGCCCCAGTCTGTCCTGTCCTCACAATTAAACGCGAGTATGGGCTACGCTGGAGTTTCCTACCTCTTGCTTGCTCAGTCCTGCTGTGTTTGGGGAGGCAAGGGACTGTGCCAGTTTGGGAACTGGGAACTGCCACTCCGGAGCATGACCTCCCTGTACTGGGCTTGTCTCTAGCTCATCTCAGGGCAGGGGGAGGCAAGGCCTTTCCCGCTGGATTTGATGCCTGTGTGAAAACAGCCTGTTGACCAGACCCTCTCCAGACCCCTCTGCCTACTCCCCACTCCCCCTTTCTCTCTGTCTTCTCCCCAGTGTTGCCATCGCAGTTTCTCCAGCCTGGCCCAGTTCTCCCTCTGTACCTTGCCTGGTCTATCTCTTCTTCTCCCCTCTTCTGTCCCCTTGTTCCTCTTCCTGCTGCTTCCTGTCTCCACGCTGGGCCGAGCTTAATCTCCCAGCTCCGATTTCTGCCTTCCCAGACAAGCTTTTTGTTCCCATTCTCCTTTCTCTTTCCTCGCTGCCAGACCCATCTTTAAAACCTTCTGCGTCCAAACTGGAGAGGGTAGGGAGGGCAGGAGAAATAGGCCCCTTCGTGGTCTGTAGGTACCAGGGTGAAATATCTTATGTTTGCCTGGATGAAGCATGCTGCTGAGACGTGCTACAGGAAAAGAGCTGGAAATCTACCTCTTTTATATAGCAAGTGCACCTTCAAACATGTTCAAAACCGTGCTTTCTCCAGCATCTCCAAACTGCAAACTTTATAGAGGAAAATTACTGTGAGCTCAGCAAAGGTCTTTAATTTTGGTGGTAAAATCCTCTCTAGCGTGGAGCCGTGAGGCCTTCTCTACAACCAGCTCCAGGCTGGGCTGGTGCACGGTGAGGATGGGGAGGAGTGCAGGGTGGTGGGTGCACGTGATCGCTCAGTTCTTCCTTCTAGGGTGCAGCAGCCGAACAGATGCTCCTGGGACAGCCTGTGTCCCCAAGCAGCCTTCCGAAGCTCCTGCAGAACGGGCCCAGGGAAAAACTCAGCCTTATCCCCACTGCCCTGCGGCACTGGCAGGATTGAGCCTCTGCAGAAGGAGGTTTGCCTGCAGAGGGGTTGCATTTAGGGGCCCATTGGCGTCCCCAGGCCTTGGGGTGGCTACTGCAGGGCCGGGGGAAACGCTGCCCCTCGTGAGGCACAGGGAGCGTAGCGGTGACTGCCGTGCAGGTGCTTCGGTCCTGCTTTCGGACGCTGTTCCTCTTGCAGCTGCCAGAGGAGGGCGGACTGGGCACGGCAAATGTCGTCTCGCACCGAGGGACCTCCTCTGGTGCCCCGGGATGTCACAGCCCCCCGGGGCACGGGGTGCTGCCCTGCCTCTCTGCTCTTGGCCATGGCAAGTTATCCCTGCGAGGGCAGGACAGATCCTGTCTGGCAGGGGAAGTTTTGGGTACAGGTGATTGTGCTGTCTTTGAACCTAGGGGAAATCACAGGCGGTCCCCTTCCCCTCCGCCCAGAGTCCTGACATCCCCGTTGCAGGGGATGCCCAAGGTCTCCTTCAGCGGCACTGAGGGTAGCCCAGACCCCTGCTTTCAGCCCGAACGCTGGCTTCAACGCAAGCAGAGCCGCCGGTTTGCTTAGCCCCTGTTAAAAGAACAAGGGAAAGTTTGATCTCGCTGAAGTCGAGCTGTCGGGATCTGTTGTCTGGAGATGCGCAGTTGGGGGGGTACTGGGAGAAATGGGAGCACTTCTCTCCCTTCCTGGAAGAAACAGCTGTGCTTCCTTATGTACAAAGCTGCTCTTAGAAGAGGTAGGGGAAAGGCTTAGTGCTGTATTTCCATGTGTATGAAAGCTGTTTATCTTATAAAAAAAAAAAAAAGCCCTAAGTGAACTCTGTGATTCAGGGGCACTGCATATTAAATACAGGTGCAAATAGTATGGGAAACTTGTGAAACTGTCGCAATTACTTATCTGCAAATAAGCGGATGTAAAGGATGACTGGTTTGTGCTGTTGGATTTGGGGGATACACGGGGCTTGTACTCGGAGCTGAGGCCCGTTTGCAGAGCGCGGGCTGCAGCCCTCGCAGCCAGCCGAGGGGGGGGAGAGAGCGCACGGAGCCTGTCTGTCCTTCACCCAGGTCCCGTGTGTCCCACGGGCTGGGACGGGGAGAAAGGCTCTAAGGAGCCAACCTTTAGCCTTTGGAGGGTTAAAAGTAATAGCTCTTTTCCCTGCTGGAAACCTGCTGGTACGGTATAATTCGCATACCGTTTTGGCCATGGTTGTCCTTACTGAGGATGGTTGTGTCCTACGTGGCACTGCCTTGAGACTTGCTACAAAACATAGATAAACCAAATAGAGTTTTTTTCCCGCTGGGTTGAAGTCGTGAGCCTTTTTAAAGTCCCACTTCCCAAGGAAAAAATTAAGCATAGGTCCAAGTGCCACTGTAGCAGTTAGCCCAGGAACACAAGCGCAAGCACATTACTGATTCAGAAACCAGTGCTGGGACAAAATGCTTCCAGCAGGGAGGTGTTTGGAAGGAAGCAGACGGGGCCTAATCTTATTCTGATTTTCTCTTTTTATTTGTGCTTTTTTTTTTTTTTTTTTACGGAAGAAGCTAATTGAAACCCCTTTCTGTGCTTAGAGGCACCCTGTGAGACTTATCTTTCTCCTTTGATCAATAAACTCAAGTCTGGCTCAACAGCTGTATATAGATAAAAGTACTATATACAAAGTATGAGGTATTATTCTTTTTTAATTAAAAATTTAAAAAAGCTGTTTGCATGAGGAAAAGTAAACATTCAAATCCCTTCCTAGGTTATTATTAGCCTATTAATTTGAGCAAAGCCAAAGAGCTTCACAAACCAAACGTACTTTTCACCCTGGAGATGATGGTTTCTCACAGATCCTTCATCCTCGACAGTGACAATAATATTAAGAAAAATAACGTTGTAATTTTCTCTCTGGTCCACTTCTGTTGCCAGCTGTAGGTCCTAGCTGAGCCAAGCCATGCTTGGTGCGCAAAGGAGAGTGTTTCAGCCTAAAAGCAGGCAGGGTTTCTGCGGGATGCTCAGGCCCTTTCTGGATGAAATTAATTTCTGCTGCTGGGAGAGTCTGTGACAATCTTTAAAGACCCAGATTTTCGAGCCTCCCCCTGGCACTCTTTATGTGCTGAAGCCTACCCAAACAATGAGACCCGCGCGCCTCTCGGCGCTGCCCGGCGAGCTTTGCCTTTAAGCAGCGGCAGGGAGATATTCTGGACTAAAGAAGGGCCTATGCTTTGGTGCGCTCTTTAGAAATGTAAATACGTGATTCCCCCCAGGCCGCTCCAGTGTAATCCAGAGCAGGCCGAGGGCCAGAGGCCCCTTCGCCTCCTCCCTGTTGAAGGCTGGTGGGCTGCGGGGGATTCTGCAAAAATCAGTCGGCGGCGAGAGCCTGCTTCTCATCGCTGGCGGCGAGGCAGGGAAGGGACGGCGGCTTTCCTCCTGAAAGCCGAAAGGCTTCGCTAGGAGAACGAGCGTCTTGATGGCTGTTCTGGAACGAATAAATGGCCCGGGATGGCCAGCAGGGCGAGGGGCTGGCAGGGGACAGAGCCTTCGCTGGTCTCTTCCAGCGCGGTCCCGTTGCACGGGCAAACGCGACCGTCTGAAATAACCCGGGCTTCGGCCCGCTTTTCTCCCGGTCCATTAAAAATCCCTCCCGTTGGCACAAACGATGCAAGGCCAAGCCCTGGGGAGAGCTTTGGGCAGTGCGGCTCGTTCGGCGCAGGCTGGGCAACGCCGAAAATTGCGGAAGAGACGGCGGGCGGGAGGCCGAGCGCCGCCCCGCTCTGCAAGGGGGCTCGCGGCCTGGCTCTGCCCTCGCCAAACCATCG